ATGACATACCTCTAGATACTTTTTGTGTCCCTCTATCTTTTCCTTCTCAATTTTCTTCAGAGCTTCTTTGAGTTCATCCTTTTCATCCTTCTCCTTCTCAGCTTCACTCTCCGAACTTGAGTCAGAGTCCGAATCACTTTCTGCCTAAAGCGAAGCTCGATTACTGCCGCTGATGTCGAATGGTATGAATCGAGGTAAACCAAAAACTCACCTTCTTCGACTTTTTCGGTTTGCCCTCGGCTCTTTGTTTTCGTCTTCGTCTCTTTTCCCTCTTCTTTTCTCTTCGCCTGGCATCCTGTTTTCCTACAAAGTTTGTTTTGAGCAAGATAAATCATGGTTTTTCAGACGCTACTTCAGAAAGTGAGATTTTTTCTGTTTGTGCCATCTTTCAGAAGCTATTGGCAAATCCTGATTTAACCCATTGACGACGACGCGATTTTGCACAACATTTCGGCGTGGGGAACTTTTATGTCTATTTACGATGCGTAAAGTTGTTTTGTAAACAACTACAAACATCTTCTAGGACGACGAGGTCTACAGGTTCCAAAAGTGCAAAAGTTTGGAAGAAATGTTGAACATGGAAAAAATACTGATCGTGGAAGAGATATAATTTTGCAAGTGCTTGAGTCACCGGTGGCTCACATTGCCGTCAAAGGGTTAATGAGTGTAATCCAAATTTTAAAGCTCTCAATAAAAACACAGAAGTGAGTTTATTTTTCCACAAGAGTTAGACGCAGGTTGCATAAAAAATGTGTGAACTGAGTGACCCCAAAATTAGGAATACTTACTGCGCTCGCGTTCTCGTTCCATTTCCCTCTCCTTTTCCGAATCTTCTTCCTCAGATTCACTTGACGAGCTAGATGAAGAAGCTTCCTCAGGCTCTGACTTAGGACTAGCTTGATCTGACATGTCAGGTTCCTCCTTTTTGGTTGTTTTCGTTGTGGGAGCTTCGACTGTCGGAGCAGCTGGTTCTGGAATGACCACATTAAGGAGAATGCGACGTTTACCTAAATGCAGCGTACCCATTCTCTCCACTGTAGCAGCGCTTTCTTTCTCAGCTTTTAGTCCTTCCTCTTGCAGACAGAAAGAATTCTTTATAAAAGAATGGCAGCATTTGTAACCCCACTGCCCATTCTTCCAATAAGATCCAAAAACGCTAGTGTGGTTCATAGGATATCTAGATGTAGACATATGATCCCGTGAGTCAAAAAACCTAGAAATTAGAGCAAAACAACTCACACATCTTCTTCATAACGACTTTTTATGGGAGCGCGCTCTGCTCCTTTCAACACTTTTCCTTTTCGACTGTATTCCACGTATTGCTCAGTTTGCGCAAATAACAGTTCTTTGGGAGCTGATTCTAGGTATTCGGCACCGCCATATTTTGAGAGCAATGCCTAAATGAACATCATTCTTACTGGTGACAAACTTTTAGCAGAAGAAACTCTAGAAGAGCAAAGCAGGTAACTACGAGCTGATAAATTTGGAGCTATCTACACTAAAATCCGCATGCATTAACATCCCCGCTAAGGAGGGGATCGCAGC